GCCCACGTAAGCGATCCATGATCGTCTAGTTATTGATAGATTTGATTCAACAATGAGTTATTGGAATATRATATATTCTCTCTCTTCTTTCCTCCTAACTATATACATTACGGATTGTACACATAATGACGGCCTTTCTTGGTCCTTTATTATCATAACTGTGTTGTGATACTCGAGCTTTTACCAATCACAMCCCTGTTATTCTGATCAATTGCGTCATTCGCAYCAGAATTTCTTCTTTGTTCTATTTCTCGGTTAGGCATTGTTTGTAGTTCAGCGATTCGATCGTTATTTGGTCCACTTGCAATGTCCACTCTCGTCTTTCGACAACAACACAGAGCGTTTTTTGTGGCCTCACGGAACTCCGTCAGAAATATTATGTAGATACCCGGGCTGAGGAAGGCATTAACGGCYGGTAGAAACGTAAATCCAATAATCATTGAGATTTTTCTTGGACAGGGTAAGTAATCATCGTTTATGCCCACTGACATACTAGATGTCCTATCTTGAAAAATTATGTAGAAAAAAATTGGAGTCCAGCAACAGAAATACAATAAAACTGACACGAGGACCATTTGCACGGCTGCTCGACTTCGACGTGCTCGTATGCATCTTTGTTCTTCGCTAAGATGRTTTTGAATGGAATCAGACCTGGATAGTCGTTTTATTGTTAGAATGCTTAAAACGAATATTACGCAACAAAAGAGAGCACTTAATCCCTKCATCGTTACTTGAAGAACTCTAAGTGACATGTAAAAATACTGAAACGGGATTAGCTCATAGATACGAAAGCGTTTTGATAGTTCGAGAAGCAATTCGCAGGTAGCTAAAATCATGGGAATTAACCAGCAAACACCAACAAGTACAATACGTTGCTTCCTTGTTGATGGCCGCGGCATTTGAAGTGCTTGCCTTGTTGCTCTAAATCGCTTAATGCTGATTACCAAGAGAGTTACTAAAGACACTCTAAATGAGGCGATCAGAAGGAATCTTGTAGTCACGAACAGTACATCACCCAATTTTCCACTTGGAAACTCCGTCCATTCAAAGTTAGACAGCCATGGAATTCCATCCAGTAACCTCAAGAAAAGAAAAAGGGCATCCGATACGGCCATGTTGATGATCAAATGATGCAGTTTCTTGCGAACTGTACATTTAATAGCAAGAACGATGACGAAGATGTTAGCAAAAAYCCCCAAAGCACTGACCAGTACGTARGCASTTCGTTTGACAATATTCTCAACATTGCTTTCATGTATATAGCATAACCGCYGGAGATTAGTCGATTCGGTTGSCAGGAATCGCTGGATTGAATGATTTTGTTCTGTTGACGTAAAGTTGTTCATTCTCTTGGAGTTTTCTCTACTACAGTGCCATCGGTGTAGACGAGTTTCCATAAAAACTAGCCATTTTGACA